TACTATTTGACAAATAGTAGTCATATACTGTTTATTTTCTTTGACAACTAGTATTAATATACTAGTAGTCGTTAAGAATTCAGAATATTTATTTGTGAAATTGGTCAGAAATTAATTTTGATTTTCAAAAATAATTTCTGAATTTTTCATTAATTAAAATTCTGTTTTTAGCATTTTAATTTTTGAAGTGTTACAATTTTTTTCCCTGTGTAGAATTAATTTGTTTAAATAAAATTTTATTTTATTTTCAAATCAATTAGAAATAAAAGTTACAATTCTTGTTTCTTTTATTTTTACAGAATTAAATTCTGTGTTTATGGTTTTAATTTTCTATGTAGTATACAATTATAATTCTAATTTTGTTTTATAATTTAGAATTCATGGCTATTGAAGCTAATGCTTAAACAAGTATTGGTATGGTGGCTGCAATTGCTCCAACCCCTTCCCCTGTTATGATTGTGCTAGTAAATCGCGATGAGAAGCCAGAGAAGTTCTTAGGAACTGATTTTAAAAGATGGCAGCAGAAAATGTTGTTCTATCTTCCTACTCTCAACCTGGTGTGTTTCCTTCATAAGAATGCTCCTACTCTAAAAGATGATGAAACCAACCGACAAGTAATTGTTGCTGTCGATGCCTGAAAACATGTTGATTTTCTGTGTCAGAACTACATTTTCAATGGGCTTGATAACACATTGTACAACGTCTATAGCCCTATCAAGACGGCAAAGGAACTTTGGGAGTCTTTGGAGAAAAAGTACAAAACAGAAGATGCTGACTCGAAGAAATTCGTGGTTGGCAAATTCCTAGACTTTGTGATGGTTGATTCTAAGACTGTGATCAACCAAGTTTAAGATCTCTAACTCATTTTGCATGACATTCATGCAGAATGCATGTCTCTCAGTGAATTGTTCTAAGTTGCTGCCTTAATTGAAAAATTACCATAAGGCTAGAAGGAATTCAAAAATTACCTCAAACACAAGCGCAAAGAAATGAATTTGGAAGAATTGATTGTGCATTTGAGGATTAAGGAGGACAATCACAACTTTGAGAAGCGGGCTGGTAAGCATCCAATGGAGTCTAAGGCAAATGTGGTGGAATATGCTCCAAAAGCAAAGAAACAGAAGTATTCTGGAGAAAGTTCCGCAGAAGGCTCCAAAGGAGGGGAAACAAAGAAATACAAGTCCAATGGCAAGTGTTACATCTGTGACAATGAGGGACATCGGGCCAAAGATTGTCGTAGCAAACGCAAAGGTAAAGGAAGATCAAGTAAGAAGCCTGCTTAGGTCAATATGACCGAAGTGGACAAAATTTCCAATGGTGTAGATGACATAATCTTTCTACAGTTGTTTCCGAGGCAAACCTTGTCGGAAATTCTAAAGAATGGTCGGTGGACACTGGTGCTACTCGCCACATCTATGCCGACAAAAAGATGTTCACGTCTTATTCTACAGTGAACAACAGTGAACAAATTTTTATGGGCAACTCCTCGACTTCTAAAAGTTGAAAAACAAGGAAAGATTATTCTGAAGATGGCATCTGAAAAGGAACTCACTCTCAACAATGTGCTGCATATACCGGACATTCCTAAGAACCTTGTTTCTAGATCTTTGTTGAATAAAAATGGGTTTAGGCTAGTGTTTGAGAGTGATAAATTTGTACTTACAAAGAATGAGATGTATGTAGGAAATGGTTACATGTCTGATGACCTTTTCAAACTTAATGTAATGATTGTTGTACCTTCTGTTATTAATAAAAATACGTATTCTTCTTACTTGCTTGAGTCTTCAAATTTATGGCATGGTAGACGAGGACATGTTAATTATGGATCTTTGCTTAGATTAATTAATATGGAATGTTTACCTAAATTTGACATTGATTTAAATCATAAATATGAAATTTATGTTGAGGCAAAATTAACTATAACTCATTTTCATTCAATTGAACGAAGTATGGAGCCACTTGAATTAATTCATAGTGACATTTGTGATTTTAAACCAATTCAAACTAGAGGTGGGAAAAAATATTTTATCACTTTCATAGATGACTATACTAGATATAGTTATGTTTATTTAATTCGAATAAATGATGAAGCTTTGGAAACTTTCATTCAATTTAAGAATGAAGTAGAAAATCAACTCGGTAAGAAAAGTAAAAAACTAAGAAGTGATAGAGATGGTGAATATGAATCACCTTTTGGTGAGTTTTGTAAAGAACATGGAATAATTCATCAAACCACCGCTTCTTACTCACCCCAGCAAAATGAAATTGCTAAAAGGAAAAATAGGACTTCAAAAGAAATGATGAATGCCATGTTATTAAGTTTTGGATTACTTCAGAACTTATGGGGGGAAGCAATACTTTCTGCTAATTATATTCTTAATAAAGTACTCGAAAAAAAGTGAATCAAACACTTTATGAATTGTGGCATGGGAGAGTACTATCCTACAAATACTTAAAAGTGTGGGGGTGTTTGGCTAAAGTGACTATTCATAGTTCTAAAAAGACTAAGATAGACCCTAAAACTGTGGATTACATTTTCATTGGTTATGCCATGAATAGTAGTGCGTATCGGTTTTTGATTCATAAGTCAGAACATTCCGAAATACGTGTAAATACTATTATTGAATCTTAGAATGCATCATTCTTTGAAAACATATTTCCTAATAAAACTGGCTAAGAGACTAATACTAATAAAAGATCTTATGATACTATTACTAGTTATGATCAAGAACAAGAGCAAGAGATAGATCAAAATAATGAAGAGAACCTAGGCGTAGTAAACGCGCTAGAACCTCAAAATCTTTTGGTCTAGATTTTCTAACTTTTTTGTTAGATAATGAGCCTTTAACTTTTAAAGAAGTTATGTCTAGTCCTGAGGCTCCTTTGTGGAAAGAAGCTATAAATAGTGAAGTTGAATCCATCTTGTAGAATCACACTTGGGAATTGGTGGATTTGCCACCAGGTTGTAAACCTCTTGGGTACAAGTGGATTTTCAAGAGGAAAATGAAAGCAGATGGATCAATTGAAAAATACAAGGCAAGACTTGTGGTCAAAGGATATAGACAAAAAGAAGGTCTTGATTATTTTGACACATACTCACCAGTTATTAGAATAACATCCATTAGAATGCTAATTGCCATTGCATCTTTGTACAATCTAGAAATTCATCAGATGGATGTGAAAATAACTTTCTTAAATGGTGAGTTAGATGAAGAAATTTACATGGAACAACCAAAAGGTTTTTCTATTCCAGGAAAAGAAAAGAAAGTGTGTAAATTGGTTAAATCATTATATGGTTTAAAACAAGCGTCAAAACAATGGCATGAGAAATTTGACAAGGCAATGATTTCAAATGGATTTAAAATTAATGAATGTGACAAATGTGTTTATATTAAAAACACAAACAAAGGTTATGTTATAGTATGTCTTTATGAGGATAATATGCTCATCATAGGTAGTAATAATGACAAGATTAAAACTACCAAGAAAATGTTGAATAAACATTTTGACATGAAATATATGGGGATTGTTGATCTAATACTTGGTATGAAAATTATCAAAACATCAGAAGGTTATGCTTTGTCACAATCACATTGCATTGAGAAAATACTTGACAAATTCAGCAAAGATGATGATCATCTTGCTAGAACACCTGTGGATGTTAATTTATTTCTTTCTAATAATGTACCTGAAAGTATTTCTCAATTAGAGTATGCTCAAACTATTGGAAGTTTAATGTACTTGATGAACTGCACTCGCTCGGATATAGCTTATGCAGTAAGTAAATTAAGTAGATATACGAGTAATCCAAGAGTAGAACACTGGAAAGCAATTATAAGGGTTCTAAGATATCTCCGATTTACTCGTAACATTAGGCTAAGTTATACTAGATATCCAACAGTACTTAAAGGATACTGTGATGCAAATTGAATATCAAATACTAGAGACTCAAAATCCACCAGTGGGTATATCTTTACACTTGGTGCACTACTACAAAAATAGTTAAAGATCACACTTTGACAAATAAAAATATCTCACTTTTATTGAAAGTGTGAAAAAAAAATTAGATTGATATTTTAATCACACTTCATTTGATTGAGTGTGATAATATGTATTTTTTATGTTACTTTTCAATTAAGTGTGATTATATATATATTTTTTTAATCACACCTTCTAATTAAAGTGTGATCATATATACACTATTAATAATACTTAAGGATAATATTTATTTTTAATCACACTTTTTAAATAAGTGTGATTATATATATATTTTTTAATCACACTCCCTAAATAAGTGATTGTATAGAATATTTCAATTTGATTTTTATATAAAATATTATTCCCAAATTCGCGCCTATTCTACCCACGATTGATGAGAGAGCACGACTCTTTCCATTCCCAACAATTGATTTTCACAAACAGCATAGGTTTCTGAAACGAAGCCCTAATTTGTTTTCTTCATCATAGCTCCGAACCACCATTGAAGTTACTCACTCAAATTTGTCTTTTGAAATCAAAAGCCTTTTGAAATTTTTGGTGAGTTCTCTGTTTTTTATGCCCCTTTTGTGATATATTTGCTCATATTCTGATATGGCATTTACAGGTTTGGAAATTTTTGCTTTAGTCATGTAATTGAATAAATGGCTGCTCTTTAAAAAAAAATTAGATTGATATTTTAATCACACTTCATTTAATTGAGTGTGATAATATGCATTTTTTATGTCACTTTTTAATTAAGTGTGATTATATATATATATTTTTAATCACACCTTCTAATTAAAGTGTGATCATATATACACTATTAATAATACTTAAGGATAATATTTATTTTTAATCACACTTTTTAAATAAGTGTGATTATATATATATGTTTTTAATCACGCTCTCTAAATAAGTGATTGTATAAAATATTTCAATTTGATTTTTATATAAAATATTATTCCCAAATTCGCGCCTATTCTACCCCACGATTGATGAGAGAGCACGACTCTTTCCATTCCCAACAATTGATTTTCACAAACAGCATAGGTTTCTGAAACGAAGCCCTAATTTGTTTTCTTCATCACAGCTCTGAACCACCATTGAAGTTACTCACTCAAATTTGTCTTTTGAAATCAAAAGCCTTTTGAAATTTTTGGTGAGTTCTCTGTTTTTTATGCCCCTTTTGTGATATATTTGCTCATATTCTGATATGGCATTTACAGGTTTGGAAATTTTTGCTTTAGTCATGTAATTGAATAAATGGCTGCTCTTTCTTATTATATTGATGAAAGCAAATGCATTTTTAAGATAATGTGCTTCTAATGTCAAACATGTTTTAGCTTAATAGTGACTATCTGTTTGCCATAAACAGGGTGAGACAGTATCGGAATCAGGGAAAGATGAAGGATTTGCGAAGGTATGTCTATCCAAAAAATATTTATTCATTATTCTTTTTTTCTCCTTTTCTTTTGGGTACATCGGAGGCCATAGCATGGGGGAAGAGGAAATCTTGCATAGAATTAAACCCTTGACCTCCTACTTTGGTTCTGGTGTTTTGGCCAACTGGGCAAGCTGTAGTTAGTAGTTGATTATCTATACATCTTGTTGATTAATTTATTTTTAGATTCAATTTTGGGTGTTGGCCCACATTTTTTGTTTATTTTGGGCATAACTTACCATGGACTTATGAATGGGTGTACTTGAAGTTGTAAATAGAGGTGTTATTCTGTAAAATTAATCCTTTACTAGTGCCAACATAATCTATGTTTTATTTGAATTGTAAGTTAGGCACCGTGTTAGATGTATTGCATGTGTCACATGCTTCAAGATGGCTGTGGCTTTTGGAATCAGATGATTCTAAACAAATATGAGGCCATTTGTAAACTTTTCCAATCTGTATAATTTTTTGAATAAACATAAATAAGTAATTGGAGTTGTGGTGGTTCTTCGTGAGCCTTAACAAATTGGACATTAAGGCCTTGTTTGGTTTGTTTTTCTGAAAAAATTTTGGGAAAAATTCTCTACAAACAAATTTTCAAGAGTAATCAAACCAAACAAATTTTTTCAAAAAAAATCTCAAAATTTTATTTGATTACCTACTTTCCAAAATCACTTTCTCTCTCATACACATCAAATCAATCACTTCTTTTAAAACTCTCTCCCCAAAATAATTTTCCAAAACTATTTTTGAAAAAAGACAAACCAAACAAGTTTTCGTACTTTTTATCTCAAAAATTACTCTACAAACACAAACCAAACATACCCTAATTGTTTAGAGAAATTATTTGCAGCTTTCATGACCTTGATGAATGGATTGGATCTCATTTTCACCAAAATTTTCATCAAATTTAAACTTGATGACGGATTGGAGATGTTTTAATGTGAATTCAGTTAGTGTAAATTTTGAAGCTACTAGTACTGTCAAATTATTCACTTTCGTTCTTTACCTAGTCGTATGAAGCTGATTGTTTGGGCTGATTGGTAAAGACTTGTTTTTCTACTTCTATAGTCCAGCGATTTTACCCCCTGAATGATATTTGTGTGGAATGTGTCATTTTGGGTAACATAATAGATGCACTTTGTTGTTTTGTAGCAGAAAAGACAACAAAAGAAAGCCAAAAAGAACGCTTCTAGTGGAAGCAGAGAGTTATTGCCTCAAAATGCAACATCATTTTTGTTTTTAACCTTGCTCTCAAGTCTTTCAAAACTCCACCATACCTACCATCAGCAATAATACGGTCATGACATTTCTTTCTTGAAAACATAGTATAATGCAACTCATGTGTACTAATATACCTGCATGTTTAGGGGATGGATCTTGGCTATATATATCTATTGTTGGAGTTTTGTTCTACTGGTGTGCATAATTTGCATGATCTTATGACAGTAAATTGTGATTTTATTTAATCATAGGAAACATTTTCACCGCCTGAGTTTTTCTGACTCTTTGCTTAATCACTTGGATGTATCCTTGTTATTTTCAGAATAGTTCATTTCTAGAGCTATTGCCTGTTGTTAGGCAACAAATAATTGATGGATTCACTCCCAAGGCTATTGATGTGTTTCGAAGAGAATTTGATTTCTTTGATAAAGTGACATCTATATCCGGTGTGCTCTTTCCAAAGGAGGAATGACGAGCTGGTATACAGAGGTATTTTTCTGTTTTGGTTGTGTTAATTAAAATAATACTGTGTTTTGTGGCTGTTAAAGATGGATTCTAATCTTCTTTTTTAAAACAGAGAGTTGGAGAAAATTGTCTTAGCAACTGGATGTACTTGACTGAAAAAGGGAATCAGATCCTTCACCCAAAGACCTTAAAATATACTTTATATATTGAGAGGGAGACAAACATTACCATAATTTAGATAAATTCTATTTAGTAGATGATTTCCTTTTCTTAATGTATGGAGCCTAAGTAACCAAGGCATGGACCAAATTGGTCCCCCCCTCCCAGTTAAATGTTTTAAAGTAGTCGATCATTCAATTGTACATTGATATTTTATGTATCTTAACACGTAACATAGGCACCATAAACCCCACCAATTTAGTGCTTTTGCTGCTGCTGCACTTAGTTGCTGTTGTTGCTGCAGAGCTGTTTTTGCAGTTGTTGTGCCCATTGAAACCCCCATCAATTTAGTAGCTCAGACCATATCTTCCACACTTTAGAGCATTGTAACAGAACATGGTTGCTAGATTCAGCTTCACTTTTACAAAAAGAGCAGACATTACTAAAGCACCATTTTTTTTTGCAAATAGTCAGCTGTTTTCACCCTCCATTACCAAGCGAACCAGCCAAAAAACTGGGTTTTTGGTGGGGCAACATTAAACCATAATAGCTTAGGCACAAGCAAATTGGATCCATGTTGGTCTTCAGCCAACCTTTTGATAGCAGCCACAGAACTTTGAGTTGAGAACATGGAAGCAAGATCAAAGAGTTGAAGAAGAAATATGTCACAAGAAGTGTGATCAATATAAAATGCTCCTAATTTTAAGGTTTTCATTCTCTCTCTCTAGCCAATCTCTTTATCTAGACAATGTATTATAGTGGTTGATATGAAACATATTTCAAGTTTTAGCTATATATGGATCTCATGGTGGAAAAAATACATTGGAGACTTCAAATTTTTTAAGTTAGTGTTTCTACAAGTCAGGATAGCAACCATAGACTATTGAGTTAAATAATAACTAAAAGCCCCATTATTAGTTTATGAGTTGCACTATAGAGTTTTACGTGTACTTGACATCACAATTTCCATAACCATTAAAACACTCGGCAGTTAGTAAAGGTGGTTTTTTGTTTTTAGTTTTTTTACAATGATAGTTGACTAAATAACTAAAAAATAATAGACATATATAGCCAAAGCTGCAATCTCGATTCTGCTCTTTTAGTCGGTTGCAAATCTGGAATGTTTGTAGTAATGCAACCAAGTGGGTAGTTGTAAGATATTTTTCCTACTAGCTAAACTGATTTTCACAGGAAGTAAATATGTGTGTAAAATTGTAATGATAGAATTAATAACAGAGAAAAAGGACATGTATACTTACGCATGATCTAGACTGATAGAAGTTGTTTTTAAATTCTTCTTCTGGTAAGGATTCAAGCGCACAGAAAGAAATATTAGATCTGAAGTATATGCTGCTACACATCTGTAGTCAATCACATGATATAACATAATTATCACATAGAAACAAACAAGATAAATGGACTTTTGTCTAGACCATCACAGTTATGAAAATCTTTCTGGATTTTAGTTTCGATACATAATGTTTTGCCATTTCTACCCTTATAACCTTAATTTTCCCAGCCCTAAGTTTTGCTAAACACCTGTTGATGTGGTAGATATAATGATAGTTTAGAGCTAGTGCCTGAAGGCCTGTAATATAATCCATGAAAATGTCTCTAGAACTCCTCTAAGAGAAATTCATACTGAAGTTCAAAAAGACATACTTTAAATCCAAAATTTGTGGAGTCAAGGTAACATTGAGCTTGATTCAATAACCACTTGACATACTATGTGTCCTCAGCCATTAGGATGAGTAACTTTAAGATAATTCACAATATATAGTAGGAATAAATAAAATACTCAACATATGTAAGGAAGAACCATCACTTCTGGAAGGCCATTCTAAAGAGATCGTTCTATGAAGGTGTACATATATATCATATAAAACATAATTTGAAAGTTAAAATTAAGCACAAGCTGCCATCATGATTCACTAATGTTCATTCTGCTCAACTTCTTCCATGAAAACATAGCTCATGAGGAATAACTACTAGAAAGAAGTTTCATACCTATGCAAAGCCTGATCATCTGAAAGTTTTCCTTTTGCTCTAAACCAATACCTCAAACTGCAACAAAAATAATTGTGTTCAAATGAGGTGTAAATGTGTGGACATATACATGTACACCTAAAAATAGCCTATATATTCAAGACGTTAGAAAAAAGAAGTCAAAAAATGATTCAAAGAACTAGGGCTAACCTTGGAGGAGATTTAGTTTGATTGGTAGCAGTATTAGGCTCACAAAATCTTATCTCTATGGGCCATGGTACCAACTTTGCGGTGGCAACCTTGTTCCGGTAAGTTCTGTTACAAACTGATTGTCAGGCTTCACTGAACTCAAAGGCTTCACTGAACTCAAAGAAAAACAATGAAGGGTATTTGTTATCTCAAAATACTAACATAGACACCACGTTTACTCAGGATAATCTTTTTTACAAATCAAATTATTTGACTACACAACATAACTATAGCAAATCACATTACAAGAGAGAGGAAAAACAAAAAATCAACAAAGAAGGTAAATTTTATTCGAGATGGAGAAAGGAAAAATGAAAGATGCCAACATGCACAAGCACTATCTTGTAGATAGGTTACCAATACAAAAAATTTCTTCTTCTTCTTTTTTATTTTATTTTATTTATTTTTCCAGCTTTGTCTCATCGATGGAGAAGAGAATACAAAACCATTCTTCTACACCTATAGGGGTTCAGTGGAAACCAAGGTAGGTTCCCAGAAGAAACCAATTCAATAATATTATTCCCCAAAAGAGCAAACAACACTAAGCATAATTTTAAGCTCATAGAAGATTTAAAAAAAGTTCTTCAAAACTGTAGCATGCCCCAAGAGGCATCTCCATTTTGACCCACTTTCCAATGGAAAAGGCTCATAAACTTATGTAGCTATAGGTTCACTTTTGAAGGTACTATTCAATTTTTCTAATTGTGTACTAGCCTTCCATACTAAAGCCCAAGATAGTTATGCTTGCTCAAGAGGCAGCCTTCAGAAAACAAGAGATTTAACAGAAGACATGTATTTTTCTTAATGTAATGTACATAGGAGATGAATTGGCATTCTTTTGATAACATTGAGGAGTCTATTCATCAATTGAAAGGCCAGTTTTTGAGTTTTCTGTGTAGTTGGGTGACAACAAGAGCAATAAATCCTTCACTAGACAATTTAATTTATTTTTTAGAGAGTTTGGATTCTCTAGTTGATGTATATAGGTCATATGACTCATACAGGCTTTTTGTTGTACCAATTCTGTACACATGGTTTGTGCTCCATTCAAACCTGTAATTATATCATTCACTTATCCAAGATTTTGAATTAAGAAAAAAAAAAAACATAAAAAAAAACAAAGAAAGCTTATCCAAATTAATGTCCAAATCATATCTAACACAGATAATAGCAGATGTGTCAGATGTGTCAATGTTGGCATACATATGACATGTATGACAAAAGAAACTCATATGAAAGTGAGCTGGAACAAGCAGAGATCAAGTCAATGTGTCAGATAGTAATGCTCTTATCCAGTAGCTAACCTAAGCAGCCGTTGTCACTGAATCACATAGACAATGTTATTATGAGTTAAAAGAAGAAAGCTAATTGGCTCAGTTATGCCTTTGCCTTGTTATCTTCTCCAACCGAGGATTAGATCAGCTTCACTCTTTTAGGATGACCAATTGCCCTACTTTTATTTTTATTTTTTTGTGTATTAGCTCTGCGCATGTTCATTGTAGATAGCTTCCTTTTGATGGCCATAGACACCCTGCCTCCTTGCAAACTGTAGTTCTAGCATTTCTATATGATCATGCATATAAACATAGCTTCATGTTGTGCTGCCTTACTGATGCAATTTTGCTGTGCCGTTTGTTCTACTGTGCTGTTCTGCTGGCCTACTATATTTTGCTGTGTGCTGGTGTTGCTATGTGCTGTCGGCCTGTTGGTGCTGCCGACTCGCTGTTTCTGCTGGTCTGTTGTACTGTTTTTTCTTTTGCCATGCTGGCTAGCTTTTGTTTGCAGCCGGTTTATGGTTTTGTTGGTTCTTGGTCTCTTCTTTTTTCTTTCTTTGTTGTTTTAATTGTCCAAAATATCCGCACAAAACTTGGTTAGCATAACCTTTGCAAAATATATTCAAATGTTTATGTTATTCAATCGACACTCCAGGTACTTCTTTTTGTATCATCTTGATTTTTTATTATTATTATTTTCATTTCCCATGGTGGTCTTAGCCTCTTTTTTTTTTTTTTTTTTTTTTTGGGGGGGGGGGGGATTTTTTTTTTGGGGAATATGCATACGCTAATTCGAGATCGTTGTATATCAAAACATGATTTGGTATTTTATTTGGATTGGCTTATTTGTCTGGTATTTTCAACCAACTAGCTTATCCAAATTTCATTGATTTACAAAAGGTTAATAGAATAAAAATGTTAAATCTTACCAATCATCATTGCTTTTATTGTTTTTGATTTTTAGGTGGTGGAGCATGGACTTGGCCATTTGCCTTTTACTGAGAAGCAAGTAGTCACTCCAACAGGTGTGTTTTAGGAGAAAAATTAATAGCAAGGCATGGACTTAATTCAAGTCTCTTCCTCTCTCTCTGATGAAATTTGGAATATAAGTAGACTACCTTTTTATCTCAAGTTTCCTTCAGTTCTCTGAATTTTAACTGAGAACTTTATATGCCTTCAATTTTTATTTGTTTGTATTTTTTACATAAATGATTGTGCATTTTCTCTTGCTAGCATATAATTTAGTGTCTCATGATGGTATCAATTTTATGAAAAGATATTCCTCTACATATGGCGAAACGAGATTTTTAAACTAGCTATAAATTGTTGATCGTGATTGCTTTTTCATTAGGGTGTGATTTATCCCTTTTTTTTATATATTTTTTTCTCTTTCATCATTTCATCTCTTTCTTCTCTTTCTATCCACTCTATTTATATTTTTTCTTATTTGAAAACAGATACACCAGCACATAATTGTTAAAATCTTGGTGGAATTACTCAACACTCAAATATTAGAACTGTGGGGGATTGTTCATTTGTTTGTTCTTTTGGAGTTGACCCATCTTGACTTGGTATGTTAATTGCTTTTCTTTCTCTACCTTGATCTGAGCTTTAATTTTTGTTGGGATTTAGTTTAGTTTACTCTCTCTGTTGATGTGTTGCCATAATAATTTTTTGATAAAATCTTTTCAAGGCTATGATTTACAAATATGTGTTTATATATACTGTTCAATCATGCTCCATAGGCTACAGGAAAACCAGTCTTCATATAAAGAGTGAGGGTAATATTGATAAATCCAAATCCAGTAACTTGCTCTCTTTTGTTATTTCATAATTGGAGAGTGAACCAATTATGCAGTTCTTTTTTCTTTTATTTATTTATTTTTAATTTCAAATTAGTTGGATTATGAATCAATGGAGTCGAGTTAAGTTGAGTTCCTGTTTGCCAGAAGCTGAATTCAAAAAATTACACTCTGTTTAGAGTGATTTGGTGAGAAATGAAGAGAGAGAGAGAGAGAGAGAGAGAGAGAGAGGGAACTCTTTTTGTTATGTATGGTTTATAATTTTGGATTTGTTGATTTTATATATATTTGATTTTATGACTTTAAAATATTTGGCCATACATTGAAGATTTTTATTTTGGATTTATTGATTCTGTGTATATGCCATATTTATATATGGCAATACAAACATTTTATACTAGTAACAATCAAAGTCGTTATTCCTTTTCTATTGATGTAGGGGATGAAGAGTCAGTGTGATGAGAAAATGTCTGATTTTGTCTTTTGTAAGACAAGAACAGTCTCTACAAAAATAGTAAGTTTATTCATATGCTTCTAGTAGTTTCTGAATTAATTTGTGTTTTTATTTTTTCAGGTCAGAAATTTCCTGGACAGATGCAAAATATTGTCAAAGAATTCAAGAACTTAATTTTTTCAAGTTTTTTTTTTTCATTTTTTAATATATGTAATCACAGTTAAAAACTTTTTATTAATTCCTTTCTATATACTTTTGAACATTTAACTTTCATTTATGAAATATATGACGTTATTCCATTCAATATATGGTTGTGATTCAAAATATAGTATATAGTGTGTATTACATTCTTCAAATGCGCGTACAAAAATAATATTGATTATTCTTCAAATATATCAAATTCTTTTTTTTTTATCACAGGTTTTATTAGTTATTAATCACACTTAAAAGATGTGTTCTAAATGTTATTAATCACACTTGATGTAATCTAAATGTTTTTAATCACACTTAAAAGATATGGTCTAAATGTTTTTAATCACACTTAAAGGATGTGATCTAAATGTTTTTAATCACACTTAAAAGATGTAATCTAAATGTTTTTCATCACACTTAAAAGATGTGATCCAAATATTATTAATCACACTTGAAAGATGTGATGAAATCATTTTTTAATGACACTTAAAAAATGTGATTAAAAATGACCTCTTTTAATCACACTAGCAAAGATCACACTTTAATAAAACTTAAAAGGTGTGATTAAAAATGTACATCACACAAAAAAAGTGTGATCTTTATCTGTATTTGTAGTAGTGGTGGGGCAGCTGTATCTTGAAAATCTTCCAAACAGACTTGCATTGCTAGGTTTACTATGGAATCAGAATTCATAGCTTTAGATAAAGCTAGAGAAGAGGTAGAATGGCTTTGTCATTTCCTTGAAGATATTCCAATGCGGCCAAAACCAATGCCTGCTATTTGCATTCATTGTGATAGTCAATTAGCAATAGGTAGAGCACAAAGTCATAAATATAACGGTAAGTCACGACACATTCGTCTTCGACATAACACCATGAGACAACTACTCTCTAATGGAATTATTTCCATTGAATATGTGAAGTCTAAAGACAACATAGCGGATACACTAACCAAAGGGTTAGCAAGAGAGTTAGTTGAGAATTTATCGAGGGGAATGGGACTTAAGCCTATTAAATAAGAGTTACCATAACAGCAACCCAACCTAGTTGATTGGAGATCCCAAGATCTAGGTTCAACGGGACAACCGAGTTGTGTATGACTCATAAGGATCACTAGGGTGTCAAACTTCTACCTATTTCTATGATGAAATAGTGATATCTGCAGTGTTTTAGGTTAAGTAATACTTTTAATGATTCTTCTATCTAGGAATACCTAGTGGAGTATGACAGGATACTTTTCATAAGAATCACCTATATGAGTGTGAACTGGGCTGGTTCTATGAGATTTGTGAAGGGCTACAATTCTCCATAGCACTCATGAAAGACCAGGTTGTTCAGGGCTAAAATGAATACAATAGTGAGAACTAAATTGTGTTTGGTGATATACTGTGTGAGTTTTATTGTCTTGGTTTACATAAATGGCTGAACAGTTCAAGACATCATATTCATTGGTTAGCTAGTAAATCTGATAGTGTCTCACAAGGGAAGGTTCAAAGCCACAAGCTACTTATCCTTTGCAGAATATTTCCAATTTCTGTACTCTCTGTAATTAGATCATGTTATTACATTTTCTCTCCGTCAAATTCTATTCATGTGGGGGATTATTGGAATTTATGGTTTTGTAGGCTTATTTTGGGCCAACTTTGAGCCCAAATTTGAGTGGGTCCCGCACGTTTTTTGGGGTGGGTCCAAAGAGGTGACTTGTTCCTTGTCGCATGGCAAGTCATACGGTGAAGATGGTTCATCAAAATCATTTATGAGTGAATGGAAAGTTGACGTCATTTTTGGGTTCGTAGAATGGACAATTAAAGAAGTAAATGTGAGTTTCTTTGTAATGGTAGTTCCACATTGAAAACTTAAGAGAACTTATGTGTGTATATAAATTATAGGTAGCAACACTTGGGTTGGGCCCCAAAGGGCACCCCATGTTTGTAGAAGGAATGCGTTATGGTCAAAGGTACAAACCACTACACACGCGCACGCGCTACCACGGCCGTCCGGCTGAGCTGTGCCAGGCGCGGGTGTGGGTTGTGGGTCGGGTCAGTTCTAATATTAATTTTTTGGACAAATTGATTTGAATTTTTTCTAGATATTCTTACAGGAAAATTATTTTTTCTAAATGAAATTAATTCCAATTTTGTGCGAAAAATTGAATTTAATTTTATGTCCACTTTTTTAACCTCCTCTCGTCCGAATTAAACTGTTCTAACAGATTGAAAATTTCTAGTATCAGATAGATTCAGTTTTGGTTCAAATAGATTCAAATTGTCATAGTTTGAGTTCTGCATCTATTCAAATTGAATTTTGCACCTGTTCATTCAAATTATATCTGTTCGGATCTGTCCAAAGGTCACTTTCTTGCCTATAAATACTGGATCATTCCAACAGTGTTCTTCATCCAAAAAAAAAATTCAATTGTCTTCCCGATTTTGCTCTCTCTTTGCATTATTCTTCATTTTAGTTTTTAGAGAAATATTTGAGAGCATATAACACAGGTTCTAGTTCACTGAAATAGATTGTTTTTACTGCTAATATAATCTGTGTAGATCATTGTATCTTGAGAGATAGACGCCATTCATCCGTAAGCACCATAGTGGGGTGAATTTGTCTTAAGAACAAAGTGTCACATACTAGACTTGATCTTTTTGTACTTATTCAGTTCGGTAAATAAATTCTGTAAGTAATTTATTTTTATTTGTTTGATTTGGTTTCACATTATTTATTTTACACAGAAGATTGTTCCAACAATAT